TGGAGGGCAATAATCAGCCCTTCCTATGCTGGCCTTAGCAACTTTACATGGACTCTAACATTTCTGAAGATCTAATGGGCAAATATACAATTTCATTACACATTAGACTTTTGTACTACAACATTGCTTCTTGTCCAGAGGAAAGCAAAAAAAAACTTCAACTAGTGCAGAGTAAGTTGTAATTACAAAATTGTCCTCAAGACTATAGGCGGTCTGTTTAATAGATAGGCTAAACTAAAAAAAAAATGAAGAGAAGTGAGGTAAAAGAATGTATTAGTAAACTAGCAAGGAGGAGGGAAGCAGAAGCTAGGCCTCTAACCAAATCTAATGAGGCACACATTAATGGCTTGCAAGATCTCCTTTCAAATTGAGTTAAAAATCACACTTTAAGAAGGAGGAAGGGTGCCAGAGCAGTTCACTTTCTCAAGAAAAGACTATGCGGGATTACCAAGGTATAACTGTACAAAATATCTGCCAATATTTGCACCAGTAGTCTCAAACTTACCATTTCTTCCATGCCAAGATGGCTCAATCACTGAAATGCCCATAAGAATGGATGTCTACAATAGACCTACCTAGGAAGGATTGATTCCTGGGGGCATCAGGAACTACTGTTTCACAGTGAAATATCCAGACGTTTTCTATCAGAGAGGAGGAATGCTTCATTCTGTCTCTACATCCTCTGTCCTGCTGAGTTTTCCTGTTGCCCACCTGCAACTTGCACGTTATTTCCTGCTAGTTTTTCTGGGAAGCTAACTAACCTTCCTCACCTTAGCATGTTATTTTTCAAGGATAGAGGCTGAAGACTGTCTGTGCCAGGTAGAAATTTTGTTTGAGGGCTGAAGTTTTTGTCATCTGCTTCAAGACACAATGGAAACACAGACTAGCTCTAACACTGCAAATTTACTTCTTTTGTCCCAGTCAAGTTGAGATGATGTGGGTATAAGCTTTCCAGTTAACCAGTCTAGTACACGGACGTGGCAACAACCATGTACAGAACATGGAGACTACTGGTCTCAGCATTGGTATAGGTAAGCATGGTATCACCTGTCAAACACCAGCAATCAATCCCAGTGTGTAACGCTTATCTGCAAAGAGTATTATGTGGCCAAGAAGCAGTTCTTATAGACCACGAATAAAGAGTAAAGGCAGCACATCTGGGAGTGTTTCAGGCTGATCAGTGATGCACTCGGGTACAAAGAAAAGATCAGTTCAGATTCATGAGATACATATGCACTTAAACATGACACAAAATTGTTGTTTGTTATTTTTTTTAAAGAAAAGTTGCCTTGTAACTTAAGCATGTATATACATGAACAAAATAAGAATAATAGGAAAAAAAAAAAAATAGGACCAATTAAAAACAACCATGAACAAATAAAAATTGTCCAGACCAGAAAACTCTATTATGTCACACCTGAAATACCTGAAATTGAAATGTTTCACTTTACAATCGTAACCTTATTTTCAGGTCACACAATGCAAATGACATTATAAAGAACAAGGAAGAACTAACAGGGAAGAATAAAAAAAAATAAGATGCATTGTGCTTTTTAGTATAAAACATGCATGTAGGCACACACCTGCACTGCCCTGCAATCCTTGAAAAACAAACAACCAATAATAATAATAAAAAGACCAAACATAACAAACACACAGTAGGAGTTTAGCTGCTGGAAAGGCTCTGGATCAGAGTTTACAACTTCTAAAGAGTAATAAATAATCACCACTTACTTCTGTCCTTTTTATACTTCTCTCAAGTAATGTAGTTAAAGAGAAATGTTAATGAGTTGTGTTTATGCACAGGTCCACCAATTAAAAATGTTTTCACTTATCAATCGGTAAGTAGTTTTGAGGTAACATCTGTTATTGCAGCACAACACAGAGAAAAAAATCACATTCTCTCTTTTCCCAGAAGTACATAATTTGAGTGTAAGCATTTCCTGCTGCTTTCAGTAGTATATGTTCCCCAGGACCTAAACCATTCTGTTCAAAGGAAAAAAAGGAAAAGTTTCCAAATCTTTCAGTGTTCTCTCAGCTCCTCATTTATTTAAGTTATACTCAGTAGCTGGATGCCACCTTGTGCCCACAAGAACTACATAGCTCCATTTAACGTTAGCAATACCTTGCCATTCAGTAATTCAGTACATTGCCTTAAGTGCAGACAAATTTAATGGTTTCAGGATAAATACTACTTGTGGAAACCAGAAGTTTCTGTCCTGACACAACATAAGCAAATACATGTGAAAAGAGAAAGATGCTGACACTGAATAAGTGCCAAATGTTAGTACATCTCTGCCATTTCTCCTTAATGCATAGCACTGTTTCCTGTGATACAACTTCTGTTTCAACAGCAATCCCTGCAGTGAGGCTTCCAGCTTCTTAGAGCAACATCACAAGTGTCCCAAGAACACACCCAGCTGCAAGTCAGAGAAATAAACGCCTACTCTATACAATGCAACAGTGAATTCCTTTCTGGTGCTGGGCCACACACCAGCTATCCATGTTAGGACACAACAGTCACTAGTGACACTTGCAAGTGTTTTCTGCCCAGGAACTTATAGTTCATTTGCAAAGATCTCCACAATGAAGTTTTGGCACAACACTATTTTGTGTGTGCATAACAACAGCACACATCTTCTGTCCAGTGAAACTACTGGGGTATTTTGTTCTGCAAGTGTCATGCAAGCTTTGTAGAGATTATGTGTCTATTACTGAATATGCCAGAGAATCCCATTTCCTAAATCAGTTGAAACATGTTCAAATTTTCCTGTGCAAAGTTTCCTGAATCACGGAGCAGATGAATATAATTTCAGATTGAATCTTTAAATCAACTAACTAAAATAAAAACTTCTACAGCTTCAATCTATCAGGAACACCTGGGAAACCACTACGGCTGCAGAAGCATTTTGAGCTATAAAGTCCATCTCTAAACAGAACAATATTTCAAGCATACTCTCAGGAAGTACAGATAACCATACACATAAATCTCTTCCCCCTGTGCTTTGGAAAATGGTAAGATTCCATGGTCCACTGCAATTCCAGTGGAAATTTTTTCAAGGAGAAGCCAGCACAAACCCTGCTGGTAGCACACTGATCCCTGGCAGTATGTGAAGTGAAAGAACATTCTCTCCATCCCAACATGTATGTGCTTATTTATGCGTTTTTTTTTTTTTTATTATTATTATTTTTTTTTAAGAAACAAATCTTCAGCAATTCAACTTTCTGCTAGCTCAGCTCTGAGAGAATCAAAACCAGCATGCTGTCTTTGTTCTTCAGCTGAACAATCTCCTTGCAGTTACATTTCAGTCAAAACAATGTTTCTGACATTAACTCAGGGCCAAACTAACACAGCACTTCTTTGGGGATTCACTTATCAGTTAAAATAGGATTGGTAAATACATTCCAACTTTGTTTCCAGCCATTACATACTAACACAATTTTCTAATTTAACATTTCAACATTTTCTGCTACTCCAATACTTTCATTCTCTTGTTGCCCAGGCAAAGAGAACACTTTGTAGCCTGCAGAACAAAAGAACAAGAAGCTGCCCCAAACAATACCTACATTCTTGGTGTAGGTATAAAAACCGATGGCTAGAAATCACAGAATTACAGGGGTGGGAAGGGACCTCAAGAGATCACTGAATCCAACCACCCTGCTGGAGCGGGGTCTCTACAATAGGTTGCACAGGTGGGTGTTCTGAGAGCTCTTAAATATCTCCATAGAAGGAGACTCCACAACCTCTCTGGGCAGCCTGTTCCAGTGCTCTGTCACCCTTACTGCAAAAAAAAAGCTCTTCTGCATGTTAGTATGGAAAACCCTACGTTCAAGTTTTAGGCCATTGATCTTTATCCTGTTGTGATGGTCCACAGAGAAGAGCCTGGCCTCATCCAATTGCCTCCCGCCTCCCTTTAGATATTTATAAACATCAATCAGATCCTCGCTCAGTCTATTTTTCCCCAGAACCATATCCAGGTTACTCATCCTTTCCTCATACTAGAGATGCTAAGCAGGAGTTTTCAACATTTATCACACTGGTTAAGACTTACCTCTAAAACTACACTAGATTCACCTCTCAAAGATGAATCATGCAGTGCAGTAACTCTGACATTACATTTTTTTTCTATGCTGCCTGATGCTCCTGGCTCCAAGTGCAGAATCAGGCACAAATTTTGAATACCTGAATAACTTCATGAGGTTGCCATATTTCTGTGTGGGAATGAGGACTCAGGACTGGAAGTCAAAAGGTTCTAAAGGCCATGGAGCTACGTCTCCCTTGTTATGCGAAGTTACTGATGAGGCTGTGCCACACGGGACATTGGACACTTAGAATAAGCTTTGGTTATTGCTGCTCTCTGACAGGGAAGTTATTTCTGGCAACTGCGACTCAAACTTTGGGAATACACCTACTTGAACAGTGGGAATACAGTGCCGACAAAAAAACACAGAACTTTGCAGACTTTCCCTCTAGAAAGGGAACTTGTTGCTGTTAACTTGTTCTCCTTTTTCTTTCTTTCTTTCTTTCTTTCTTTTTTTTTTTTTTTCTTTTTCTTTTTACCTGGAGATTACGTGTGTTTGAAGAAAAATACTTAGGGGAGAAGAACATTAGGAGCAAGTAATGATTTCTTCCCTCACTCTCTCTGTCTCTTCCTCTTGAAAAACTTCCTCTTTCACGAAAAAGCTGCAGCCCCTGGACTCCCCGCCTCGCGCTGCTCGGTGCCCTTTGACAGCCAGCCCGTTTTCCCTCCCCCCGGAGCATTTTTGCTGGGTTCAAGCCCGGCCCGCTCACCGCGAGCACTTTTTGGCCGAATTGAAGGCTTCCGGAGGAGCGGAGCACAACTCCGCGAACTGCCGGAAACCGCCAAGGATAGCGGCCACACTTCGGCGTGACGCTCCTCGCCACTCTCCCCTCAACTTCGCACCACAGCCAACGCGCACGGACCCCCAGCCCCCCCCCCGGGCCGCCCCGCCGGGTCCGCGCGCCTGGCCCTACTCACAGATGCAGGGCGCTCCTGTGCTCCCGCCGGCCGGCCGGCCGCCCAGCCTTCCACTCCTCCGCATCGCAGCGCTGCTCCGTCATGAGCACCATCGGCACCGCACTGCGCGACCCTCCGCCGCCGCGGCGGGACGGGACGGACCGCGCCGCTGCTGCTCCCGCCCCGGGGCGGGCCCCGCCGCCGTGGAGCCGGAGCGCGGAGCCGGGGGCGGAGCGCGAAGGAAGCGTTGCTTAAAACGGTTCCCCCTGCGCCTAGTGGTGAAGTCGCTCGTGGAGCAGCTGCGTCCTCGGTTACGCGGCGGGACGCTGCAGCGCGGGATGCTGCTCGGGCAAAAGCTGCTTTATGCGAGGGCAGCAGAGAGGGGTCTTTGCGCACAGCGGAGGTTGGAAGCTCTCGTGCATGGGCTCTGCCGCCCACTTGCCATCCCCGCCCCATCGGGGGCTTCGCTGGCCGTGAGCCCCGTCCACCTTTCCGGGGTTTTGAAGGATTTTCTGTGCTCTTTCTCTTCTGCATCACCCCGGGCTGGTTGGTCAACAGTGGGAAAGTGGGCTACTATAGAAGAAATCTGACGTGCTCCTGCAGTCGTTTCTTGCCAGGTTGTAGGGGAATATTTGCATAGACATGACTGCCAACTGGCAGCATTTTGGTGCAAAGCACTTTGCATGACGACCACGAAGTGTGAGTGTACATATATGGAAACTACTCTCATTACCTGATGAAACATTGAGTGGCTGTTCAATGTAGGGAGCTACTACATCACACAGGAAGAGCCTGTGGTTTTAAGGAAGTGACCTGGGAAAGGCCAAAGTAGCAATTCTAAGGTAGGGTCAGTTTTAATGACTTAACGTTTTAGAATATATCCTTGAGTTAATAATTGTTACAAAGTTTTCTTCATAGCTATCAGACTTTGCTGGAATTTATGGGCAAAAATATATACATGGCAGCGTTCTCGGCGGATATTAGAATGGGATATAGATGCAAATATGTGTTTCAGTGGCACTACTAAGACTTGTGGATTGCTTGATGCTTGCACAGCGTAAAAGAGGAGGAGCTCAGTATTAAGAAATGTTGCATTATATTTGGGAACTCACTAAGGGGAAACTACAGCTAGAGGTTAAAAGGCTCAGGTGTGCTGCAAGTGGTTGGGTGCACAGAGCCTGCAGAAAATGAGATTAAATGGTCTTAGCTAGACTGGATGTGTTTTATCTCCAGTCTAATCAGCTGCAAAGAATACGTGACAAGCTGTGCAGAAAGGAAGGAATTTAAAATAGGTTATTTTCTGGGATAAATCATTAACTAATATTTTTGCATTATTTAGTGTAAAAACCAAGGCCTATGTGGAAAACAATGACCTGTAGGTTATCGGAAACATCATCCACACCTGTTACGTCCTGTACCTGTGGAACTCCTCTACCTCATGCTGTCCTTCTCAGTACCTGAGCAGATTTAGCACTGCCTGCAGAGCTTTGCAGAGCTGAGTCCCATTCATGGAAAGGATGACAGAATAGGTCTCACTTCAGCCATTTGGGCTACAAATAGAGCAGGAACTTCCTTATAAATAGGGCTGTCTTCCCGCATCTGCTAGGACCCAGGATCCTTTGCTTGAATGCAGCAGCCTGCGTGAGGCTTTGGGTTCCCTAGGAATAGTTCTCGCTATCCGTGTGTGCTACCATGGTGTAAACAGTATGTCTGGAATCAGTAGGGAAAGTGACTGCCTGCCCTCTGTCTTGTTTTTGAAGGCTTTTCATTACTGGGATGCACTAAAAATGCATCAGTTGCTATTTTGGTCCCCTTGTGTTGTTCTGCTCCTTCCAGCAGTATAATGCTGATTTACACAGTTGTGAGAATCTGACATCCAAATATTTGAACAAAAAAAAAATCAGTCACCTTCCGAGTGCTTTGATTTTCAATCTCTGACAGATTTAGTTACTGGAGAGAAATGCTACTGCTGCCTGTTTTGCTTACTCCTCTCCAGAGATTAATTCTTCAACCACAGTGACATAAGAAAAGGAAGAAATCTCTTGTCTCCTGGAGCTTTGTCTCTGTCCTAGTTTTGACCGGATCTGTTACTGAGGTATGCAAAGCATTCTGTATTGAATAGCCAAGGTATTTGCTGTAAAAAGAAAGCTACATTGAAATAAATGGATGCTTGCTGCCTAGGCATTAAAAGTGAGTAATACTTGGTGGCATATAATGATATCTTTACTCTTGTCAGAGCCTTGATACTGGCAAAGTTTCAATTCCTTAGTGTCTCTTTCCTGTTACCTTCTGTTAATGTCAGTGGAAGTAATAAGGGCTGCTCTAGCTTGTTCTTTTTGGAGGGTTTGAAAAACAAACAGTGGCCAAGCTTCATCAAAGGGTGCGTGATGCAGCAACTCCAGAACAAAATAATGTATTCCAGTGTAAGAAGATTCTGAATGTGTTATGTTAAACTATTAAATAGTGTGCAGCTCTTTATGTGGGTGGAATATGATCAAGAACATGTTTTTATTTAGTAAGGCACAGTGAATCTTACATGCGCAAAAAAACTGCCACGGATCTTTTACTGTTCATGCCCTGAAAAGTCTATACTAAAGGGTGAAATAACAGGGATGAAAAGGCCAAAAAAACAAGAATGAATGAGTTGAAGTAGTATGAAAAGCTGTTATTGTACAAAAATAATTTAAGTTACATATGAAATCACAGAGAAACAAAATTGTAGCACACTGGCCGGATCACCATTTGCTATCCCAATTGCAGTGTTTTCTTTTTCCATGGACGTCCAACGTTTTGGCTTGCCTGGGCCACATTGTATAGTGGGAATTCATCTTGAGTTGCATATACAAAGGTTACTCCAAAAGTAATGCCTTCTATTTACGTCCATGGAAACAAAATCAGATACAAAGAGCAAAATAACAGTTTGATAGAGCAGATTCTCAGGTACAAGATACTATTTTTTACCAGCAATGAACAGAAGTCTCCATGCCATCCTGATAAAAATCTGCACCAGTGGAGCTGATCCAGTCAGTGTCACCACTGCTGAAATGCCTAATTCATGTTCACATCCATTGTTTGGTCTCCATAATTGTTCAGCAAGCATTGAGAAATGTCAGTTAATGCAATTTTTTTCTACATGGAAGAATTCAATGACACATCTTTACTTTACCCATCCTTCCATGTTAGACACTATTTTGCCAGGCCACCCCTTTGTGTCGTATGGCAATGGAATGTAACAGAATGTTGGTAGGAAGGTTCACCCTTGGCTGCCATATCAGCAACATCCTCCTCTAACATCATGGTCCAATATAATAAAATAGGAGGGATTACTTTCAAAATATCCCTCATAAAAAAATGTAATTAATGTCTATATGTAACAAAATTATTTTAATGTTCAATATTTTCAATTAAAACAAACAAAAAAAGGGCAACAAACTCATAAAACTAGTGGGGTATGTGACCTCTCTTTTGTGAAATTAATGTATTGGTCTGGTTTGATGGTAGTGGTTGCAGTTCCTAGGGAATTCTCAGAGTGTTCATCAGATATCGGTGAGGAAATTTTACTCTTCCTTCATCCTTGAAAACAGTTGTTCATGAATGTGCATGCTGCCAAAAAGCAATGACAAAAATAGGGTGTGATTGTGAAGTGAGGGATTTCTCTCTCGTAAGAGAGAGTCCAGCAAAGAAACACGATCAACTTTTGATTGCAGTTCTATACATTCCACTTGAAAATTCTGAGGTAAGGCATCTATGTTGATAGAAAATAAAGACACATATAATAAATCAAGCTTGTAAATATTAGAAGATTGATAGTGCCAGAACAGTGAGTTGTGCAATTCTGTAAAGAGTGAAAAGCTGTTTTGGCCACCTGACCTCTGTTCCCCACCTGGATTAATATTTTAGCAATTTATTCATTTTCAGAAGTGTGAGATTGCTTTATAGATACCTAAACCAGATGATTTCACCTTATCTTTTTGCTAGAATTGCATCTACTTATCCGTTTCTGTTGTTGTTGTTGAAAGGAGCCTAGCTTACTGCAGAGGTTGTAATACCCTTTTGACATAGAGGATGTGTAAGGCTTGTAAGGTAGACTGGATTCATAGCTAGATGGAGAATTTCTCTCCACAGACTGTGAGGAGTACTGAGGCTGTATGTTGTGACTGAATTTTGAAGCAACTGAATGCAACAGACTACACTGCAATTATACAGTGTAGCATCCAGAAAGAAAAGGAGAGAGACTCTGTCACAAAATTTATGGAGTGTTAATGATGTGGTGTCAGCCTCCCTCATAGTGAATATGCAACACATTGTACATGTACTCTATCAACACATTTGCTTCCATTTTGATACCTATGCCCTTGACACAACAGATTGTGAAAAGCTGCAGGATATACACTGCATACTTACACAGTGCAGGAAAGGAAAATGCATTAAGTGCATTAATACACCATCATGGAGGTGACTCTTCTGCAGTTAGCATCCTGGCCTGACCCCAGGCATGCACCCATTGCTCAGAAACTGTCACATCCATGTGTGATTGGTATGGCCTGAAATCAGGACATGGGGATGGTGCAATGCAAAGATAAATAAATTTATGGCAACTGTGCATTCTGATATGCATTCTGATAATTTGCCTAAACACAGTCCTGCAAACAGGGAAGAGTATTCAGTCTTGCTTTCTGTTTTGACAAAGGAATTTGAAAATAAGCTTCAAGACTGCTATATATGTATATATACATATATGTATATATATAGTATGCTTGTGTCTTTATTTTCAGTTAACATAAATATCTTACCTGTGAATTTTCAAATGGAATGCAAAGAATTGGTATCAGATATTCAACTCAAGAATTGATCGTGATTTACCAAATCTTTGTAAGACTTCTCTTAGAGAAGAATAATATCCCTCACTTCACAATCATGACTTATTCGTGCCATTGCTTTTTGGCAGTATGTACACTTGTGAACAACAGTTCTCAAGGATGAAGTACAGGAAGAGTAAAATTTAATCAAAAATCTTTACTTGTGCTTTGAGAATCTACTCAGAATTGCAATCATTGATGTTAAACGAGACACTGATGCATTATTTCAAAGGAATCATGCTCATTTTTCCCACAAGTTTTGTGTTTGTTGCTCTTTTAATATTTTTGTAAAAAATACATATTTCAGAAAAAAGGTTTTGTTACTTGCATACA